TGATTTGATATCATTGTAGCCTTTCAGGACTGCATTGATTGCATCATGTCTGGCTGACAAGTGTGTATCAGAGTTGTTTGCTGCACTCAGGCCCAGTGGAGCCACTTTATCTGTCAACATTATCCATCTGCTCGTGGATACGGAAAAAAAGTGTAGAGTTCATTTATAAAGGAGAACAGATGAACAGCTTTAATACAACTGCTACCTCTCCAACCAGCAGGAGTGAATGTGCAGCACAGGGGACACAATCACCGTACTTGCATTCTCTTATGATCAATGTCTGTAAACCCTGGTACAATAGGTTCTCCAATTTCGTGAGTTTTTAATTCGACGTTTTTTATTGTGACACATATAATACACTGCACAATTTAAAATTTCAACGGGTTTGAGCGGCCCGCCAATGTTCAGACGTGCACAATCGTGTAAACAGCGTCATTTCTCTTTTGTACAAAAGATTCATTATTGTTTATTACTGAATGTCTTTGATTGAATTAATGTTTATGTGTGCAAAGTGAACAATACAACTCATTAATAATACGTAGAATATTAAAACACACGAGGAGACGAGACGGCATTGTTTTCGTTAATGTTTACAAAACCAGTGACTGATTGGTTCTACATATAAAACTGAAGAAAATAAGACCCTGGTTGTAGCTGTAGTAAAATTAATGTAAAAAAATTAATATGTTTGTTTTAAGTAATGTTATTTAATGTTAATAAATGGAACAATGGAAGTAGCTAACCATTAATGGTAAAGAAAAAAGTGAGATCACGTATGTAAGTGAGCACATGTGAAGACATATCGTCATTACCATACCTAAGAATATGAAAGCAACACTTATTTACTGTTCATATATATTTTAATTAATGTTTCTCAATTTAAAACAAAAATTCTACCCACCAGTGGTGGTAAAGTTGAAAACATAAGGACAGCCAATGTTGTTGTGTGTTTTTACTTGGATGACGAAGTTGCCAAGTCATCAGGTTCAACTCTAGCTGAAGCTGTAGAACATAAAAACTTTTCTGTGTTGTTTTTAGTTTTTATTTAACTTTATCTGTGTTATTTTTGTTGGTTTATTAGGATGTTGCTTTATTACAGGTAGTAATTCGCCCCAAAAAGTAGGGTAAATAAGGCCAAATTTAGCCAAACATCGAAAGTACCAGACTCAAATTAATTTTCTCCATAGGAAGTTGTATTTAAATTTGGACGATTTGAATTTCGTGAGGTTTTTTCAGTCTAAATAGGTGTCCAAATATGAGAGCCTACTATACTTCCCACTAATGTTGGCTGCATTAGCCACCACAATTTCCTATGTTAATGCCTTGAGAGGCAAAAAATCAAGAATAAGTTCAGCCAAGCTTTCACCCGTGTGTTAGTGAAGATGGCTATACTGATGAGTCTCTCAACAGGTCCCTTACTGCCTGACAACGGGTGATGTCAGTTGCTGAGTCCACTGAAAATGAAAAATATCTGGCATCTTTAACCTCTTGCATTATCTACAAGAGCATCATGTCACCAATAATATCTATCAGGCCTTCATAGATGGTAATATGAAGATCTCCCATAACCTTTGTTAGAGCATTTTCAAATGTTCATCAATAAATAGGTCATACTGAGCCAGCAGTTCAATCAGCCCAAGGAAGTTTCCATTATTAACTAAGCCAATATGCTCATTTGTTCTTCTAAGAGCAACACCATCACAGCCAAGAATTTTAAAGTGCTGATTACACGTTTTAGGACTTTTTGCCAATACTGACACTTTATCGAACTGTTGGAGTAACTTGTAATCTATGACACTTAAATTAAGACATTCAGTGTTCGTTTACATTTCAATATTTGTATAACTCTCATTTTTCATAATGATACAGTATAAGGTTGAGCTTAGAGGGCTCATTATATCTTTTGTACACAAAATTATGGTGAAATTTTAAATTACTATAATTCCTGAAATTTTTTGGAAGGGCCCCTTATATTTTGGGGCCTAGGGCCATGGCCCCAATAGCCCCTTTGTAAATCTGGTACTGCAAGCATGGCCCGGGTGATAAGGTCATCTCGGCGATCTCTTTCTCTGACAATGATGTAGTCAATGAGATGCCAGTGTTTGGATCGTGGGTGTTGCCACGAACCCTTGAACTAGTCGGCCTGCCTAAACAAGGTATTGGTGATAGTGAGGTTGTGTGCAGCACGCTTGCTGAGGAGGAATAGGCCATTGAGATTACACTTGCCTAGTCCATTTCTCCCTATGGTTCCCTGCCAAATGTCAGCATCTCTGCCAACTCTGGCACTAAAGTCACCAAGGAGCACAACCTTATCTTCTCTGGGGATAGAAGTTAGCACTCTGTTGAAGTCGGCATAAAAGGCCTCCATGATGTCATCCTCTGCATCCAGTGTTGGGGCGGATGCACTGATGAAGAAGGCATGACGTGAGTGACTCGGTGGGACTCGGAGCGTCACGAGTTGTTCGTTGATCCCAACAAGCATTTCAGTTAGCCTGTGTAGGATGGATTGCTGGATGGCAAAGCCAACTCCATAATTGCAGTTTCTCTCCACAGCAGCCTTACCCTTTCAGAAGAAGGTGTAGCCAGACCCCCTCTCTGTGAGTCGACCCTTGTCTGGGAGCCTGGACTCACTGATGGCTGCTATGTCGATGTTATACCTAGTCAGCTGTTTTGCCACAAGGGCAGTTCTTCTTTCAGGACGCTCATTTGTGCCAGTATCCAGAAGGGTCCTGACATTCCATGCAGCGACCATAAAGAGGTTGTATGGTTTGTTTTTGTTTGGATCTGTGATTTTGATTGTTTTTTAGACAGCATAAGGATGACCTTACTGGGTGTGGTTGCCAAGTCAGGTTGGGTTTTTAGGCAGGCTATGTTTAGGGCACCTTTTCTAGCCCCCTCCCCATGTGGGGTGAGCAGAGTGGCTCCTTGAAAGGGCTGTTCAGTTGCATAGACAGGACCAGATTGCACTGCTGCCTAAATCCCAGTGATTAAACAACCATCTTATCTGTGCCGCCCATGTGCAGAGTTGTGACTAGAGACTCCCGGCATTCATCTCTGCCTGTCCCCGTCGCCACTCATCAGTCACCATAGGGCTGTTGGGGGTATAGGGGTTTTGATGATGATGATGAGAGGTATAATGAGCTGGATGATGGCTGCACGTGAGTTGATTTATGTGGTGAGGCAGGAGCGCAGACTGTAACCACACATCTTGGCTCTCTCTTTTCCTGATCCAGTGGTGCAAATGTTGCAACGACTGGGGAGAGGGAGAGTCGCAATGGACTGCCGATAGCCCAGTTTGTTGGGTTCTGCCTTAGTAGCCTGTCCATCAGGCATTGCCTTCATCCGTCACTGTATTCGTTGGGTTCCCAAGTTGGTCACCTCTTCCACCGATACAACTGTTGGGATCTTACTGGAGCTCTGTAAGCATGTTTGCCTAATGCGGGGCTCCACCACAGATTTTTAGTTCGGGGTTTACTCCCGTAGCCTTATACCTGACAAGTTTAATCCACAAGGCAGCGGGGCGGTGGTTGGTAGGCGCCAGGACGTGTCCACATGCCAGTGGGCCTATACGCCGTCCCTCTGGGGCCCACTGCTACTCCGAGATCCACTGCTGGTTTAGCTTGGGTCCATGAGGCACCCAGTTACCGTGTGTTGCCATGAGGAGGCACAGTAGGAGTCTTGATGGTGAAGAGGCTGTGTACTGGCAGGGGAAAACTTATGCAAGTTGCTTCCCTGTTCACCGTGAGGGCTAGCCAGCGGCGGCAGCTGAAAGCGAGAGGAAGCAAGCAGTGCTTGTACCTTAACACTAATTCTGCCACACTACTGTAGATGCATTAAACCACCCTGTGCACACACACACATTTAGGAAAGGAATGGAACCAGTGTTGAATAGTGGTGAACAGTGCTTAAGTCAGTGAAAAACAACTCGGCAGTAACAGCTGAGTTTTACCCAGGCTAACCTTCACACAGTGAGGTCCCAGGTACCCAGTGATAACTGCCCCTGAGACTCAACAACACCAGCTATGTGTTAATCCATCCACGATAGGGAGGCCTGGGACCACACCTCACTCACTTGAGTGAGTGAGGTTCTGTGACACCAGACCAAGTGGTGTCCCCATGATGCTACGACACCACGTAGCGAATGAGTTGCTACAGCATCATGTGAGGTTCCTCATAACACCATCTGTGAGGGAATTACTACACCACGTGATGCCCCTCATAACACCATCCGTGAGGGAATTGCTACACCATGTGATGCCCTTCATAACACCATCTGTGAGGGAATTATTACACCACATCAGGCCCCTCATACACCATCTGTGAGGGAATTACTACATCATCAGGCCCCTCATAACACCATCTGTGAGGGAATTACTACACCACATCAGGCCCCTCATACATCATCTGTGAGGGAATTACTACATCATCAGGCCCCTCATAACACCATCTGTGAGGGAATTACTACACCACGTCAAGCCCCTCATAACACCACCTGTGAGGGAACTACTACTCCACGTGATGCCCCTCATAACGCCATCTGTGAGAGAGTTACTACTCTACGTGTCTGCTGTTCAACACCTTAGCGCACAAGATCTACGTGACCCACTGTAATCATTAATCTGTATGCTCACTGTACTGTATGCTCTTTTACCTTTCTCTAATGAAGGCTTTTGTTAAACCACCAATGTATGTAATAAGTCATTTATGTCCAATGTATATTTTCAGCCTTCGGGCTGCAGAACTTTTTCAGAATTTTTTTCAATAAACCGTTAATTATTATTATTGCATTCCTGGGAATCCTTATATTTCACTGTAAGTTATTACATATTGTACTCCACTATACTGTAAGTAAGTTCATCTTGTAATCCACTAAAAGTAAGTTCATCTTGTAATCCACTAAAAGTAAGTTCATCTTGTAATCCACTAAAAGTAAGTTCATCTTGTAATCCACTAAAAGTAAGTTCATCTTGTAATCCACTATATCTTGTACTTCACTATAAATTAGTACATGGTGTATTTCAGGATGGCATCTACATTCTCACCACAAGAGCTCTCCCTCTTCAGAAGTATTATAGAGGAAATAGTGTATTCTGATGATGGCCTGATACAAGAGACAGAGGCTATCAGCTTAGCTACTTCCATGGAACCTAGAATGAAAGTTAGCGATAGTGAAGAACTAATCCAACACCTCATACAGGATAAATGGCTCCTCCAGGTAACATAATGACCACATAATATAAGGTAGATGAGAATTGTGTATGGTGGCCACATAATATAAGGTAGATGATAATTGTGTATGGTGACCACATAATATAAGGTAGATGATAATTGTGTATGGTGACCACATAATATAAGGTAGATGATAATTGTGTATGGTGGCCACATAATATAAGGTAGATGAGAATTGTGTATGGTGGCCACATAATATAAGGTAGATGATAATTGTGTATGGTGGCCACATAATATAAGGTAGATGATAATTGTGTATGGCCACATAATATAAGTAGATGATAATTGTCTATGGTGGCCACATAATATAAGGTAGATGATAATTGTCTATGTGGCCACATAATATGTAGATGAAATTGTGTATGGTATACATAATATAAGGTAGATGATAATTGTGTATGGTGGCCACATAATATAAGGTAGATGATAATTGTGTATGGTGGCCACATAATATAAGGTAGATGATAATTGTGTATGGTGGCCACATAATATAAGGTAGATGATAATTGTGTATGGTGGCCACATAATATAAGGTAGATGATAATTGTGTATGGTGGCCACATAATATAAGGTAGATGATAATTGTGTATGGTGGCCACATAATATAAGGTAGATGATAATTGTGTATGGTGGCCACATAATATAAGGTAGATGATAATTGTGTATGGTGGCCACATAATATAAGGTAGATGAGAATTGTGTATGGTGGCCACATAATATAAGGTAGATGATAATTGTGTATGGTGGCCACATAATATAAGGTAGATGATAATTGTGTATGGTGGCCACATAATATAAGGTAGAGATGTATGGTGGCCCACATGAGAATTGTGTATGGTGGCCACATAATATATGATAATTGTGTATGGTGGCCACATAATATAAATGAATGATAAATGGTAGAATTGATAATTGTGTATCATGGTGGCCACATAATATAGGTAGATGATAATTGTGTATGGTGCCACATAATAATAGATATGTATGGTGGCCACATAATATAAGGTAGATGATAATTGTGTATGGTGGCCACATAATATAGGTAGATGAGAATTGTGTATGGTGGTACATAATATAAGGTAGATGATAATTGTGTATGGTGGCCACATAATATAAGGTAGATGATATTGTGTATGGTGGCCACATAATATAAGATGATAATTGTGTATGGTGGCCACATAATATAAGGTAGATGATAATTGTGTATGGTGGCCACATAATATAAGGTAGATGATAATTGTGTATGGTGGCCACATAATATAAGGTAGATGATAATTGTGTATGGTGGCCACATAATATAAGGTAGATGATAATTGTGTATGGTGGCCACATAATATAAGGTAGATGATAATTGTGCAGGTGCTCCCCGACTTACGACGGGTTTAGGGACCTAAATCCAGGTCGTAAGTCGGAAATGCAAAATATAATACATATAAAATCTAAAATGAAATACAGTGCAGTAAAAGTAATCAATAATGAAGAATGGATACAGTGTGACTGAGCACTTACCTTTAATGTAGTCAGCTGAATGCACACGGGGCCTCAATAATTTTCTAATTATTCATGGAGACGCCATTAAGTGGATGAAGCAGAGGAGGAGACAGGGCTGGGTGTGTCATCAATGTCGCTTTCTTCAGTCAGGTTTATGTACAGGTGAAACTTGCTGGTTGAAGGCATTGGATCATCTTTAGGAAGTGAAGAGGCAGCAATGTGGGACTTCTTAAAATATATGTCCAATTTAGACTGCACAATTTGCTTTTTCTTTTCATTATAAATCTCCCAGTAGCAAGCAAGTGCATCTTGGACCATTCTGTCAACTTTGGCAAAACGCTCAACATTTTGATCCATTCCATCAAACATTTGCATCCCCTTATTAATTGTAGCAAATGCCTCTGCCATTTGCTTCACTGAAAAAATTTTGGGGGGTGCAGGTTCTTCTTGTACATTTAGATTCTCTTCTTCCTCTGCATTTTTCTGTGCTTCCAGTTTGATAAGATCCTCGTTACTTAGCTCTTCTGCCTCACTTTCAACCAACTGCTCAACATCTTCATTATCAATTTCTAACTCAAGCTGTTTACCCTCCTCCACTATCTTGTTACTAATCTCAGAAATTAATTCATCTTCATTAAATCCTCTGAAACTGTTTGTAAAGGCCGGGGACTTTGGGTTATAAATCCCTTGCCAGCCTAATCAGGATCTTATAAAAGGAAAGTCAAGAACCATGAGTTTCCAAGGGGTAACAAACAACCGTTAGAGATTGACATCTCTTTACTACGGAAATGATCACAATAATTGACACCATTCACACAAATATTAAATAAACAATTAAGAGAGCCAAACAGTTACAGGAGTCAAACAAAGTACAGATATTTCCTACGGCTGCAGATGAAACAGCCTGGTGGAATGTTCTGTTAACGCGGTGGTCATCTCTCAGGGGGAGGTACAGGGCAGCTTCCTCACTTGACGCCGGCGTTGGTGGGCGATGTCTTGCCACACCTGAGAGACGCCAGGGCACGGACGGTGGATAGGGCGTGGAGGAAGTGGCGATGACGTGGCAGCTGCGGTAGTAGCTGCAGTAGGTGTCCGGAATTGACAGCCAAATAGTGAAGGACTGGGGAATCAGCCCACGAGCCCCAGGAGCCTCAGATGAGCACATGACCAGAGTTTGAATGAACAGCGGGGTGTGAGTACAGATGTGTTGACGGCTGGGTAGTGTCTGATGTGTGACGAAGCAGCAGCGACCTTCTCACCGCCGTGTACCCCCCCCTAGTGGGGGTCGCGAACAAGCAAACGAGCGGCGGACAACCATCCTGCTCGTTACCGCCCTTACACTGTTCACATATCTTCTCAGGACTTTCTTCCATACTCCATTCATGCACTGACCTGTAACCTCATCCCATGCTGCAGCTATGTTCTTTATACATGTCAAAATGTTGTAGTCCTTCCAAAATTCTCTGAGCATTTTCTCACCTTCAGTAGCAGCAACGGCCTGAGCGAAGGTCGTATGTAAATAATTTGCTTTAAAAGCTGCATTAGCACCTTGATCCATGGGTTGGATGACAGAGGTAGTGTAAGGTGGAATGTAGACTACCTTAACATCAGGGTGAATGTCGTCCAGGTGTGGTGGGTGTCCCAGAGCATTTCCAAAATTAACAAAATCTTGAATGCAATCCCTTGTTGCAGACAATACTCCTTGGCTTGTGGAATGAAACAAGTCGATAACCAATCCTCAAATAGTACTAGGGTCATCCAGGCTTTCTTATTAATGCGATAAAACACTGGCAGTGTGTGCTTGCTGACATGTTTAAAAGCCCTTGGGTTCTCTGAATGATCTATCATGAAGGGCTTTACGTATCTTGAAACCAGCTACATTTCCCCCCAACAGAAGTGTGATTCGGTCCTTGAATGCCTTGAATCCCGGCATTGTTTTCGCCCCTCTGTGGATGTATGCCCGTTCTGGCATGCTCTTCCATAATAATCCATTTTTATCCACAGTGAATATTTGCTCAGGCAATTAATTTCCCTCCACGATGACACGATCTAGCTCCTCCTTAACGGCTTCGGCAGCACCCACATCAGCTCTTGCTGCCTCTCCACTCACCTTTCCACTGTGCAAACTGTAGCGGTTCTTAAACCTTTGGAACCACCCATGACTTGCTGTGAAGGTTTGGTCTCACTCATCTCCTGCCTGCTCCTTCAGGCTTTCGAACAGACTTCTTGCCTTGGCCTGTAGGGTTAGAAGGCTTACGGGTACACGCTTCTGTATCTGATCTTCCATCCATATCGAGTAAGTTTTCCATCTCATGAAGAGGACCTTGTCTTTTAATCGTTATTATTGTTCCCTTTATAGGTGCTGATCCTTTCACCACCTCGCGAATACTTTCCTTGTCCTTCAAAATAGTAGATATGGTCGAGTGCGAGAAGCCTAGGTAGCTTGAAATAGTTGCTACAGTTTTCCCATTTTCTTACTGCATTATTATCTTCATTTTCGTCTCAAAAGTAATTGACTGTCTCCTTTTTCTTCTAAGCACCACCAGCACTCTCACTTCTACACTTGCCAGTCATTCTAAAGTGAATTAGATACGAAAATAATGTCAGTACACAGCACGATCACTATCAACAACGACGGCCAAACACCAACTAAGCGGTCTACGGCGTGGGCGCTGTAGCCACGAGGCGACCCAAGCCACACGACGCTCTCGTACACGACGGAAAAGATTCGGTCTAGAAAATGCACGCGTCATTTGAAAAAAAATTTGGTACCAACCGCGGCGGTTGTACGTGCTGGTGGTCGTTCCGACTGAGGCAGGTCATAAGTGCGGGTGATCGTAGGTCGAGTAGGTCGTAAATCGGGGAGTTGTTGTACATGGTGGCCACATAATATAAGGTACTGTATATGATAATTGTCTATGGTGGCCACATAATATAAGGTAGATGATAATTGTGTATGGTGGCCACATAATATAAGGTAGATGATAATTGTGTATGGTGGCCACATAATAGAAAAAGAATGTTTATTAGTGGCCACACATACAACTTGTCTCTGCCATTGAGGTCCAGTTATGAAGAGATTTTATTGCACTTGGTTCAGTACTTAATATGAAGCACACCTAGGTATCTCCATCCCAGCACTAAATACTGTACTGTACTGTTAATTATTAAATAAATTTTTCACTTCAGCACGGTGGAAAGGAGAGACAACTGTCACTGAGTGCTGTGACGGCCTCAGAGCTGAGCCTTTACCTGGAGGAGGTGTATGAAGACTGTATCAGCAAGTGTTTTTTGTGTAAGATCATCACATTTAAGGTAAACTGCTATACAGTGAGTCACTTTCCTCACATTTAAGGTAAACTGCTATATAGTGAGTCACTTTCCTCACATTTAAGGTAAACTGCTATACAGTGAGTCACTTTCCTCACATTAAGGTAAACTGCTATACAGTGAGTCACTTTCCTCACATTTAAGGTAAACTGCTATACAGTGAGTCACTTTCCTCACATTAAGGTAAACTGCTATACAGTGAGTCAGTTTACTCACATTTAAGGTAAACTGCTATACAGTGAGTCACTTTCCTCACATTTAAGGTAAACTGCTATACAGTGAGTTACTTTCCTCACATTTAAGGTAAACTGCTATACAGTGAGTCACTTTCCTCACATTTAAGGTAAACTGCAATACAGTGAGTCACTTTCCTCACATTAAGGTAAACTGCTATACAGTGAGTCAGTTTACTCACATTTAAGGTAAACTGCTATACAGTGAGTCACTTTCCTCACATTAAGGTAAACTGCTATACAGTGAGTCAGTTTACTCGCATTTAAGGTAAACTGCTATACAGTGAATCACTTTCCTCACATTTAAGGTAAACTGCTATACAGTGAGTCACTTTCCTCACATTTAAGGTAAACTGCTATAAAGTGAGTCAGTTTACTCACATTTAAGGTAAACTGCTATACAGTGAGTCACTTTCCTCACATTTAAGGTAAACTGCTATACAGTGAGTCACTTTCCTCACATTTAAGGTAAACTGCTATACAGTGAGTCACTTTCCTCACATTTAAGGTAAACTGCTATACAGTGAGTCAGTTTACTCACATTAAGGTAAACTGCTATACAGTGAGTCAGTTTACTCACATTAAGGTAAACTGCTATTCAGTGAGTCAGTTTACTCACATTTAAGGTAAACTGCTATACAGTGAGTCAGTTTACTCACATTAAGGTAAACTGCTATACAGTGAGTCAGTTTACTCACATTTAAGGTAAACTGCTATACAGTGAGTCACTTTCCTCACATTTAAGGTAAACTGCTATACAGTGAGTCACTTTCCTCACATTTAAGGTAAACTGCTATACAGTGAGTCAGTTTACTCACATTAAGGTAAACTGCTATACAGTGAGTCAGTTTACTCACATTAAGGTAAACTGCTATACAGTGAGTCAGTTTACTCACATTTAAGGTAAACTGCTATACAGTGAGTCAGTTTACTCACATTAAGGTAAACTGCTATACAGTGAGTCAGTTTACTCACATTTAAGGTTAAAAAATGGATATTTCTAAAATTACCATAACGTAACAATTGGTATGAAAAGCAGACTTAACCAAATAAACCTTCCTAACCTTACCTAACTTTCTTAACCCCCCCCCCAGTATATTAAAGAGAAAGAACTTACTATGATATGGTGAAACTTGAGGCATTATCTGTACGTGAATTTTTACAGCCGCATCGGCATCTATGCAGCCCGGGCGGCGAGTTATTTATTGTCATGGCGGGAAACGTCGAGCGTTGAGGAAGTGATGAAAATATTTATTTCCAGTCTGAAAGCACAGGAATTACCACAGTGTGGACCGTCTCTATTTAAAGGAACAATGTCGTGGTCTTTGAACAATTGAAGGGTCTTTGTCTTTATCCCTTGACGTGTCATGCTGAATATGAAACTGCCACGAGCCCGGGGAAAAGCACCACAGAGCGTGGCCTCATTACTGCTGGGAAGACAAATTAGTGCGCTCTACAAAACGAGACATTTGCACAAGAAATGATTTCCATATCAGAACTCACTGATGAAAATAAAGAAAGAAAATAAACAGTAATACAAATACTTAGACTTTAGCAAAGAGTTTGACAGAGTACCGCATCAGAGGCTTCTGAGAAAAGTTAAGGCTCATGGTATCGAGGGGAAAGTTTTAAATTGGATAAAATCACGGCTCACCGATAGAACGCAGAGGGTCAGCGTAGATGGTGTTAAATCTGAGTGGAGCCGTGTAACCAGTGGGGTTCCCCAGGGGTCAGTACTAGGCCCACTCTTGTTCATAATCTACATAAACGATCTAGATACTGGGATCAGTAGTGACATAAGCAAGTTTGCGAATGACACCAAAATAGGGCGGCAGATTAATTCAGGGGAGGATGCAAATGCACTACAGGAGGATCTAAATAAACTGCAGGGGTGGTCTGAATAATGGCAAATGAAATTCAACACCAGCAAATGCAGCGTACTTAATATTGGAAGAACAAATACTGTCAATGTATACAGCCTTAACAACATCAACCTAGAGAATTCGACTTGTGAAATAGACTTAAGGTTACTTGTAAGCCCGGACCTATGGCCTAGAAAACAGTGCGTTAATGTTCGAAATAAGGCAAACAGAGTATTAGGTTTTATATCTAGAAGTGTAAGTAATAAGAGTGCAGAGGTCTTATTGCAACTATATCTTGCGCTAGTCAGGCTGCACCTCGATTATGCGGTTCAGTTCTGGTGCCGTTATTATTGAATGGATATAAATTCACTGGGGTCGGTGCAGCGAAGAATGACGAAAATGATTCCGGGACTTAGAAACCTTCCATATCAGGATAGGTTAAGGAAACTAAACTTGCATTCCCTAGAAAGACGAAGAGTGCGGGGAGATATGATAGAAGTATTTAAGTGGGTGAAAGGAATCAATAAAGGAGATATAGATAAAGTTCTTATAATATCCGAGCAGGATAGGACCCGGAGCAACGGATTTAAGTTGCATAAGTTTAGGTTTAGGAGGGAGATAGGAAGGAACTGGTTCACAAATAGGGTGGTGGACGAGTGGAACAAGCTTAGCAACTTTGTAGTAAGTGCTGGAACGCTGGAAAGTTTTAAAAGGAGGCTAGATAGATTTATGGATGATAGAGAGTGGTAGTAACTCTCGACAGGAGCTGCCATGCGCAGGCCAACCGGTCTAATGCAGACTCCTTATTTTCTTATGTTCTTATGTGCTGTGGTGTGTTGTGCTGTGCTGTGCTGCTGTGCTGTGCTGTGCTGTTTTGTGTTGTGTTGTGTTGTCGGGGAAACAATTGAGACCCTGCAATTGTGTGTTAATGAGGCAGAAAGTCAGATCATCAACCTGGGACTTGGTCACATATGGCAGCAGGGTCTACCATTAGACAACAAATTATGCTTCCAATGTCTTCCCAATACCTCCCTGTTTGGTAGTTGCCTACTACCTGTTGTTGTTATGTTGGCGACAACAGCTTTTTGTAAACAAATTCACTGCTTTGACGAGGGCCAACCAACCACCAGCACAAGGGAAAAACAGTACAGTAGTACAGTTCAGTGGATATATATATATATATATTTTTTTTTTTTTTGGGGACAAACCTTACTTGGCCAACATTGGGCCACCATGACATGTGTCACCTTGAGTCACAACAACTGCATTGCAGGAAGCAGTTGTTCACACTCAATTAGAGTTATAAACAAGTGTTAGAAATAATGGATATAAGTGTTGAAGTGAGAAAAGTTTGTGTTGAGGAATTTTTTAATCTGTCTTTTGGTGCTGTGGTCATGCACACACACACTTTTGGTGCTGTGGTCATGCACACACACACACTTTAGTGCTGTGGTCATGCACACACACACTTTTTGGTGCTGTGGTCATGCACACACACACACTTTTAGTGCTGTGGTCATGCACACACACTTGTGGTGCTGTGGTCATGCACACACACACTGGTGCTGTGGTCATGCACACACACTTTTGATGCTGTGGTCATGCACACACACATCTTTTATGCTGTGGTCATGCACACACACATTTTTGTGCTGTGGTCATGCACACACACATTTTAGTGCTGTGGTCATGCACACACACACTTTTGGTGCTGTGGTCATGCACACACACACTTTTTGTGCTGTGGTCATGCACACACTCTTTAGTGCTGTGGTCATACACACACTTTTGGTGCTGTGGTCATGCACACGCACTTTGGGTGCTGTGGTCATGCACACACACTCTTTGTGCTGTGGTCATGCACACACACATTTTTTAGTGCTGTTGTCATGCACACACACTCTTTTAGTGCTGTGGTCATGCACACACACATTTTGATGCTGTGGTCATGCACGCACTTTTGGTGCTGTGGTCATGCACACACTCTTTTTGTGCTGTGGTCATGCACACACACTTTTGGGGCTGTGGTCATGCACACACACGGTGCTGTGGTCATGCACACACACATTTTGGGGCTGTGGTCATGCACACACTTTTGTGCTGTGGTCATGCACACACACTTTTTGGGGCTGTGGTCATGCACACACACACTTTTGGTGCTGTGGTCATGCACACATTTTGGGGCTGTGGTCATGCACACACACTTTGGGGGCTGTGGTCATGCACACACACTTTTAGTGCTGTGGTCATGCACACACACACTTTGGTGCTGTGGTCATGCACACACACTTTGGGGGCTGTGGTCATGCACACACTCACTTTGTGCTGTGGTCATGCACACACTCTTTGGGGCTGTGGTCATGCACACACACACTTTTTGGTGCTGTGGTCATGCACACACACACTTTGTTGCTGTGGTCATGCACACACACACTTTTAGTGCTGTGGTCATGCACACACACTTTTGGGGCTGTGGTCATGCACACACACTTTTGGTGCTGTGGTCATGCACACACACATGGGGCTGTGGTCATGCACACGCACTTTTGGTGCTGTGGTCATGCACACAGTGCTGTGGTCATGCACACACACTTTTGGTGCTGTGGTCATGCACACACTTTGTGCTGTGTTCATGCATCACACTCTTTTGTGCTGTGGTCATGCACACACACACTTTTTGGTGCTGTGTTCATGCATACACACTCTTTGGTGCTGTGGTCATGCACACACACTTTTAGTGCTGTGGTCATGCACACACACACTTTTGGTGCTGTGGTCATGCACACACACACTTTGGTGCTGTGGTCATGCACACACACTTTTTGTGCTGTGGTCATGCACACACACCTTTGGTGCTGTGGTCATGCACACACACTCTTTTAGTGCTGTGGTCATGCACACACACACTTTGGTGCTGTGGTCATGCACACACACTTTTTGTGCTGTGTTCATGCACACACACTTTGGTGCTGTGGTCATGCACACACACTTTTAGTGCTGTGTTCATGCATACACACTCTTTGGTGCTGTGGTCATGCACACACACTTTTGGTGCTGTATTCATGCATACACACACTTTTGGGGCTGTGGTCATGCACACGCACTTTTGGTGCTGTGGTCATGCACACGCACTTTGGTGGCGTGGTCATGCACCACACTTTTGTACTGGTCATGCACCACACTTTTTGGTGCTGTGTTCATGCACCACACTTTTGGTGCTGTGTTCATGCATACACACACTTTTGGTGCTGTGTTCATGCATACACGCACTTTTGTGCTGTGTTCATGCAGACATGCACTTGGTGCTGTGTTCATGCACACACGCACTTTTGTGCTGTGGTCATGCACCACACTTTTGTGCTGTGGTCATGCACACACTTTTTGGTGCTGTGGTCATGCACCACACTTTGTGCTGTGGTCATGCACACACACACTTTGGTGCTGTGGTCACACACACACACACTTTTGGTGCTGTGGTCATGCACACACACACTTTTGGTGCTGTGGTCATGCACACACACACTTTTGGTGCTGTGGTCATGCACATACACTCTTTTGGTGCTGTGGTCACACACACACACTTTTGGTGCTGTGTTCATGCACACACACACACTTTGGTGCTGTGGTCACACACTTTTGGTGCTGTGGTCATGCACACACACACTTTTGTGCTGTGGTCATGCACACACATACTTTGGTGCTGTGGTCACACACACACACTTTAGTGCTGTGGTCATGCACACACACACACTTTGGTGCTGTGGTCACACACACTTTGGTGCTGTGGTCATGCACACACACACTTTGGTGCTGTGGTCATGCACACACACACTTTTGGTGCTGTGGTCATGCACACACCTCTTTGGTGCTGTGGTCACACACACACACTTTTGGTGCTGTGGTCATGCACACACACACACACTTTTAGTGCTGTGGTCACACACACACACCTTTTAGTGCTGTGGTCATGCACACTTTTGGTGCTGTGGTCACACACACATTTGGTGCTGTGGTCATGCACACACACACTTTGGTGCTGTGGTGTGCACCACACTTTTGAGTGCTGTGGTCATGCACACACACTCTTTTGTGCTGTGGTCACACACACACTTTAGTGCTGTGGTCATGCATACACACACTTTTGGTGCTGTGGTCATGCACCACACTTTTAGTGCTGTGGTCACACACATACACTTTTGTGCTGTGGTCATGCACACACACTCTTTTGGTGCTGTGGTCACACACACACACACTTTTGGTGCTGTGGTCATGCACACACACACCTTTTGGTGCTGTGGTCATGCACCACACTTTTGTGCTGTGGTCATGCACCACACTTTTGGTTGTGGTCACACACACACACTTTTGGTGCTGTGGTCACACACACACACACAGTGCTGTGGTCATGCACACACACACTTTTGTGCTGTGGTCATGCACCACACTTTAGTGCTGTGGTCATGCACACACACACTTTTGGTGCTGTGGTCGCACACACACTTTGGTGCTGTGGTCACACACACACACTTTTGTGCTGGTCATGCACCACACTTTTGGTGCTGTGGTCACACACACACACTTCCCAGTGCTGTGGTCATGCACCACACTTTTGGTGCTGTGATGTACCACACTTTTGTGCTGTGGTCACACACACACACCTTTTGGTGCTGTGGTCATGCACCACACTTTTGTGCTGTGGTCATGCACCACACTTTTGGTGCTGTGGTCATGCACCACACTTTTGTTGCTGTGGTCACACACACACACTTTTGTGCTGTGGTCATGCACCACACTTTTGGTGCTGTGGTCATGCACCACACTTTTGGTGCTGTGGTCACACACACACTTTTGGTGCTGTGGTCACACACACACACTTTGGTGCTGTGGTCACACACACACACCTTTTGGTGCTGTGGTCATGCACCACACTTTTGGTGCTGTGGTCATGCACCACACTTTTGGTGCTGTGGTCACACACACACACTTTGGTGCTGTGGTCATGCACCACACTTTTGGTGCTGTGGTCATGCACCACACTTTTGGTTGCTGTGGTCACACACACACACTTTTGGTGCTGTGGTCATGCACACACACACACTTTTGTGCTGTGGTCACACACACACACTTTAGTGCTGTGGTCACACACACACACTTTGGTGCTGTGGTCATGCACCACACTTTTGGTGCTGTGGTCATGCACCACACTTTTAGTGCTGTGGTCATGCACACACACACACTTTGGTGCTGTGGTCATGCACCACACTTTTGGTGCTGTGGTCATGCCACACTTTTGGTGCTGTGGTCACACACACACACTTTTAGTGCTGTGGTCATGCACCACACTTTTGGTGCTGTGGTCACACACACACACCTTTTGTGCTGTGGTCACACACACACACTTTTAGTGCTGTGGTCATGCACACACACTTTTGGTGCTGTGGTCATGCATACACACTTTTCCCCTCCAACAATCTCAAAATTTTGTTTTGTGGATATTTTTGATTCACTGAGCAAGAATTTGCACAATGCATGACTTTGTATGTGTATCTCTCACATTGAGCACCTTTTATTAGGTGTTGCCCTAGACCCTAGCGCAACATGTCACTTTATAATACCTTTTGGTAGTGGACAGCTTTTGCCAGTTGCTGTATCAACCTTATTGTACAGTATGTGTGTTACCCTGTCTCCCATTTAACACTCATTTATCTGTCTTCAACAGGGACACAGGTGCACCAAGTGTAAAGTCAGAGTTCATCGTAAGTGTTGCAGAAAGTTCTGGATGCATCAGAATACAACATCAGTTACCTGTCCTGACCCTGTGTGTGGAGAACATTGGCCACATGTTGAACTGGATCTTCCCCAAAAACGCTAAAAGTTATCATAGAGTTAGGAGAGTTCTGCTCTGCCTCAACTAAAATACATAGATATAAACTATTTGTCTCAATAAGTTTCTCTTATTACTTAAAAAACTGATGTGTAGTTTACCATTATGTGTACTTTACCAGTATATATGCTGTATTAATCTGATTGTTTTCATTACCTGTAGTAATTAAGGTACAGTTGATTGTAGTGACAGTAGAAGACAATATTTTGTTTCGACAGAAGGTAAATGTTAGTAAGATTATTGATAGAAAAATATAGTTTTCTTCTGAACGTTTCCCTTCAATCTTGTAATATCCATAACAAATGGCAACTTACTGCTGGGTTTGGAGTTCTTGAAGAGGCCTCAGTGTTTGCCACAATTAATGTGATGGTTTATACAGTAATGCTTCATGAACTGTAGGTTGCTTCACTCGCCCTCTTTTACAGGTACTTTAACGGGCAATGTTCGGTAGATTTGGCATCCTGTGTACCGCCGGCAAGGCCGTGGGCTCGGAACACTGCTCTTGCCCGCAGTGCCCACCGTTTCTCTGTGGATGTCGGTCACACGAGAATAACCCTTTTTGTACATCCTTCTTTCCTCACACAGCCAAACTGTGGAATGCTCTGCCTTCTTCTCTGTTTCCATACTCAGACAATCTGTCTCACTTTAAAATGCTGGTTTTCCGGCATCTTCACAGTGTAGATTAACACGATATAACCTTTTCCTTCTCTATTTTTAATTTCTTTCTGTTCTTATTTTTTCGCCCCCCCCCTACCCCAGGCCCCGTTGTGGCTCGACGACTTGTACCCAGGTGGGCTATTCCCCATAAAAAACAAAAAAATATCATATTTTATGGTGTACACTGTATAGTATTTTATGGTGCTGCGTATTGCATTTTATGGTGTACACTGTGGTGTATTTTATGGTGTACACTGTATAGTATTTTATGGTGTACACTGTATAGTTATAGTTTTTCTTATTCATTTTATAGTTGTACACTGTATAGTATTTTTATAGTGTACACTGTATAGCATTTATAGTGTACACTGTATAGTATTTATGGTGTACACTGTATTCCATTTTATGAGTGCTTTTCTTATAGTATTTTATAGTGTACACTGTATTCCATTTTATGGTGTACACTGCATAGTATTTTTATGGTGTACACTGTATAGTATTTTATGGTGTACACTGTATAGCATTTTATGGTGTACACTGTATAGCATTTTATGGTGTTCAGTACTGTATAGTATTTTATGGTGTACACTGTACTGTATAGTATTTTATGGTGTACACTATAGTATTTTATGGTGTACACTGTACTGTATAGGATTTTATGGTGTACTCTGTACTGTATAACATTTATGGTTGGAGGAGGCAGTAGGAGAGGGAGGGAGGTGGTTGGAGGTAGTGGAGGAGGGAGTAGGAGAGGGAGGGAGGTGGTTGGAGGTAGTGGAGGAGGCAGTAGGAGGGAGGGAGGTGGTTGGAGGTAGTGGAGGCAGTAGGAGAGGAGGGAGGTGGTTGGAGGTAGTGGAGGAGGCAGTAGGAGGGAGGGAGGTGGTTGGAGGTAGTGGAGGAGGCAGTAGGAGAGGGAGGGAGGTGGTTGGAGGTAGTGGTGGAGGCAGTAGGAGGGAGGAGGTGGTTGGAGGTGTGGGGGAGTAGGAGAGGGAGGTGGTTGGAGGTAGTGGAGGAGGCAGTGGAGAGGGAGGGAGGTGGTTGGAGGTAGTGGAGGAGGCAGTAGGAGAGGGGGAGGGAGGTGGTTGGAGGTAGTGGAGGCAGTAGGAGGGAGGAGGTGGTTGGAGGTAGTGGAGGGAGGCAGTGGGAGGGAGGGAGGTGGTTGGAGGTAGTGGAGGAGGCAGTAGGAGGGGGGAGGGAGGAGGTGGTTGGGTAGTGGAGGGAGGGAGTAGGGGAGGGAGGTGGTTGGAGGTAGTGGAGGAGGAGTAGGAGAGGGAGGGAGGTGGTTGGAGGTAGTGGAGGGAGGCAGTAGGAGAGGGAGGGAGGTGGTTGGAGGTAGTGGAGGAGGCAGTGGGAGGGAGGGAGGAGGGTGGTTGGAGGTAGTGGTGGAGGCAGTAGGAGAGGGAGGGAGGTGGTTGGAGGTAGTGGAGGCGGCAGTAGGAGAGGGAGGGAGGTGGTTGGAGGTAGTGGAGGAGGCAGTAGGAGGGAGGGAGGTGGTTGGAGGTAGTGGAGGGAGGCAGTAGGAGAGAGGGAGGGAGGTGGTTGGAGGTAGTGGAGGGAGGCAGTAGGAGAGGGGAGGGAGGTGGTTGGAGGTAGTGGAGGAGGCAGTAGGAGAGGGAGGGAGGTGGTTGGAGGTAGTGGAGGAGGGAGTAGGAGGGAGGGAGGGAGATGGTTGGAGGTAGTGGAGGCAGTAGGAGAGGGAGGGAGGTGGTTGGAGGTAGTGGAGGAGGGAGTAGGTGAGGGAGGGAGGTGGTTGGAGGTAGTGGAGGAGGCAGTAGGAGAGGGAGGGAGGTGGTTGGAGGTAGTGGAGGAGGGAGTAGGGAGGGAGGGAGGTGGTTGGAGGTAGTGGAGGAGGAGTAGGAGGGAGGGAGGAGGTGGTTGGAGTAGTGGAGGAGGCAGTAGGAGAGGAGGGAGGTGGTTGGAGGTAGTGGAGGGAGGCAGTAGGAGAGGGAGGGAGGTGGTTGGAGGTAGTGGAGGAGGGAGTAGGTGAGGGAGGGAGGGAGATGGTTGGAGGTAGTGGAGGAGGCAGTAGAGGAGGAGGGAGGTGGTTGGAGGTAGTGGAGGAGGCAGTGGGAGAGGGAGGGAGATGGTTGGAGGTAGTGGAGGAGGCAGTAGGAGAGGAGGGAGGTGGTTGGAGGTAGTGGAAGAGGCAGGGAGAGGGAGGAGATGGTTGGAGGTAGGAGGGAGGCTAGGTGAGGGAGGGAGGTGGTTGGAGGTAGTGGAGGAGGCAGTGGAGGGAGGGAGGTGGTTGGGTAGTGGTGGGGCAGTGGTAGGGGAGGGAGATGGTTGGAGGTAGTGGAGGATGGGTAGGTGATTGAGGGAGGTGGTTGGAGTAGTGGTGGAGGGGAGTAGGTGATTGAGGGAGGTGGTTGGAGGTAGTGGTGGAGGGAGTAGGTGAGGGAGGGAGATGGTTTGGAGGTAGTGGTGGGAGGCAGTAGGTGAGGAGGGAGGTAGTTGGAGGTAGTGGTGGAGGCAGTAGGTGAGGGAGGGAGGTGGTTGGAGGTAGTGGAGGAGGTAGGTGATTGAGGGAGGGTGGTTGGAGGTAGTGGTGGAGGGAGTAGGTGAGGAGGGAGATGGTTGGAGGAGGGAGGAGGCAGTAGGTGAGGAGGGAGGTGGTTGGAGGTAGTGGAGGAGGAGTAGGTGGGGAGGGAGGTGGTTGGAGGTGGGGAGGCAGTAGGAGGGAGGGAGGTGGTTGGAGGTAGTGGAGGAGGGAGTAGGTTAGGGAGGGAGATGGTTGGAGGTAGTGGTGGAGGCAGTAGGAGAGGGAGGAGGTGGTTGGAGGGAGTGGAGGAGGCAGGGAGAGGGAGGGAGGTGGTTGGAGGAGTGGGAGGGAGGAGGGGGTTGGGGTGTGGGGAGGAGTAGGTGAGGGAGGAGGTGGTTGGAGGTGTGGAGGAGGTGGGGAGGAGGGGTTGGAGGTAGTGGAGGAGGAGTAGGTGAGGGAGGGAGGTGGTTGGAGGTAGTGGGAGGCAGGAGAGGGAGGGAGGTGGTTGGAGGTAGTGGAGGAGGGAGTAGGTGAGGGAGGGAGGTGGTTGGAGGTAGTGGTGGAGGCAGTCCGCATGAGGGTGAGAACAAGACCACACAGGAGGGAGGTGTAGGTCCAGCATCACGGTGAACAAGACCACACAGGAGGGAGGTGTAGGTCCAGCATCAGGGTGAACAAGACCACACAAGAGGTGGGTGTAGGTCCAGCATCAGGGTGAACAAGACCACACAGGAGGGAGGGTGTAGGTCAGCATCAGGTGAACAAGACCACACACACAGGAGGGAGGGTGTAGGTCCAGCATCAGGGTGAACAAGACCACACAGGAGGGAGGTGTAGGTCAGCATCAGGGGTGAACAAGACCACACAGGAGGGAGGGTGTAGTCCCAGCATCAGGGTGAACAAGACCACACAGGAGGGAGGGGTGTAGGTCCAGCATCAGGGTGAACAAGACCACACAGGAGGGAGGGGTGTGGGTCCAGCATGAGGGTGAACAAGACCACACAGAGGAGAGGTGTAGGTCCAGCATCAGGGTGAACAAGACCACACAGGAGGGGTAGGGAGGGGGTGTAGGCTCAGCATCAGGAAAAACACAGGAGGGAGGGTGTAGGCTCAGCACGGGGAGAACAAGACACAGGAGGGAGGGGTGTAGGCTCAGCATTGTGTGAACAAGACACAGAGGGGAGGGTAAACAGCATTGTGAACAAGATACAGAGGGAGGGAAGGGCACAAGACAGGGAGGTGTAGGTGCACAGAGAACAAGACACAGGGAGGGAGGGGTAGGCTCAGCAGAGGGGAGAAGACACAGAGGGAGAGGGGTGCATCAAAACAAGACAGAGGGAGGGAAGTCAGCATCAGGTGAACAAGACACACAGAGGGAGAGGGGTGTAGGCTCAGCATTGGGGAGAACAAGACACAGGAGGGAGGGTGTAGGCTCAGCATCAGGAGAACAAGACAGGAGGGAGGGTGTAGGCCCAGCAGGAGGGAGACAAGACAGGAGGGAGGGTGTAGGGGTGCATCAGGTGAACAAGAGACACAGGGAGGGAGGTAGGCTCAGAGAAGACAGGAGGGAGGTGACAGCATCAGGTGAACAAGACACAGGGGAGGGAGGTAGGCTCAGCATCAGGGGTGAACAAGACACACAGGAGGGAGGTGTGCAACAGAGAACAAGACAAGGAGGGAGTGTGTAGGCTCAGCATTGTGAAACAAGACACAGGAGGGGAGGGTGTAGGCTCAGCATTAGGGAGAACAAGACACAGGAGGGAGGGTGTAGGTTCAGCACAGGGTGAACAACAAGACACAGGAGGGAGGTGGTGTTCAGCATGAGGGCAGACACAGGAGGGAGGTGTAGGCTCAGCATCAGGGGGAACAAGACACAGGGAGGGGAGGGTGTAGGTTCAGCATCAGGTGAACAAGACACAGGAGGGAGGTGTAGGTTGCATCAGGTGAAGACAGGAGGGGGTAGGTTCAGCATCAGGGAAGACACAGGAGGGAGGTAGGCTCA